AGGTTTGTTTCTTGCTTCCATCATAGTCCAGTATGAGTGTGGGGGAGAAAGGGATCTGCCTCCTGCTCTTTCAGACTTCATCCTCTGTCATCAACTCGTTCCCTGGGTGTACTGCAAGGGAACAAACTGTGAAAAGGCATCTCTATGGCTTCTAACCCAAGCTGGCCCAGATCACCTTGACCCACATTCATCAGCAAGAACAAGTCAAGGAGCAGAGGACCAAGGAAGGCCACGCTGATGTTTAAGAATAATCAGCTAGTGTCAGCTACACCATGTGAGGTAGCAATGCCTTAGTCCAATTACATTAACAAGCCTCCACTGCAGAATGTGAATGGTGACAGTAGAAGTCCATGGTCCCTCAGAGAGGCGAGGGAGAGGGAGATTTCTGGCGGGACATCCTTCTGGCACTTGTATAACTCTGCAGCTACCTCCTTTCTTCACCTGCCAGGTGGTAATTGTTCTTTGGGAACAGGAAGACTTGGAGAGGGAGTATACAGTTATATTCCTCTTACTAGCCAGAGGCTCAGGGGTTTTTAATTTGAGGGAGGAGGTCCATGATGTCCTTCAAGAGATTGGTAATTCCGTGAAAACCCTATGTAAAATTTGTTTTTGTGCACAATTTTCTGGGAAGAGGGTCCACAGTTCGGCACATAGAAGGCATTCAATAAATATTCCTTCTAAAAACTTACAAAAGGGTCACATTACTTAATGTTCTCCAGAGAAACAGAACCAATAGGATGTGTGTGTGTACAGACACACACACACACACACACACACACACACACACACACACACACATTTTAAGGAAATGGCTTACAGAGGCCCAAAATCTTCAGGGAGAGCTGGCTGTCTGGAGACCTAAGAAGAGCCAGTACTGCAGTTCAAGTCCAAAGGCTGCTGGGCTGGAAAATTCCATTTGCTTGGGGGAGGTCAGTCTTTTGTTTGATTCAGGCCTTCAGCTGATTGGATGAGTGTCACCCACATTATGGAGGGCAATGTTTTCCTCAAAGTCCACTTACTTAAATGTTAATCTCAGTCAAAAACCCCTTACAGAAACATCCAGAATAATGTTTGAGAATATATCTGGGCAACATGGCCCAGTCAGGTTGATGAATAGAATTAACCATCACGGGAATCCCGACCCACACAAAAGGTAGAGATGAGGAACTACACCTAAAAATTTCCACCATCCTCCTTCCTTCTCTCTAGTCAGGTCCTGTGCTCATCCAGTTTCTGTGCCTGGCCCTAGAATAGCTTACTTATTTTGGTGACATGTAGAAAATCTGCCTAACAACTCCCTTCTAGCAACTTCCATCTATTCTACACTGAAAGAATTGGGGCATGAATTCCCAATTCGGTTTTAGTAAATGTTAAATAATGTTAAAGAAAGCATTACTTTTCTCCTGGAGAAAAAGAAAGTTTTCACAAAATCCTCAGAAATGCTGCTTCATCTCAAAGCATTTTAGCTTACCCCCCACCCCGTATGCGTCAGTGATAGTATATAACCAGCCAAGGGATGTATCTTTACTGTTTATATCTTACAACCCTGCCTTTAGTCATTTCTCTTGAATAAATCCTCCAGCCAAATGAAGTCCTTGAAATCACAGATTATATTCTATCCCTTTGCAATTCTCTACAGTGTTGAAAAGGCTGCTGGCACAGGCAGGAGCGCTGATTAACCGGTAGTGTTGTCACATTCTGTTTTATTTGACTCCACTAATATTAAGCCACCAGCTAGCCCCGGCATTAAAAATAGCCCAGATTTAGCTTTCAGGGTTGTCACCTAACTTCCCATCTCTACCTTGCTTCCATAGATAGAGCGTCACATAAAGAAAACCGAGGCAGCTTTGGGGCAAGAGACTTCTTTGTGGCTATTTCTTAGCAAAGGTAAAGCCTGGTGATTTAATGAAGGTGTTCTCTCCCACCCTCCTTGCCCTAACTTGATTTTTCATCTGAAAAGGATGCAATGAGTTCTGTCTGTGAGGAAAGGGCCCTTTCTGCCCCTACTTGTGCTCTAATGCACACAGGTTGAGACTTCCCTTCCTTGCCCTGGGAAAGAAAGGATGTTCTGTTTATAAAGTACTGAGGGACCAGGATGGGGCAACACTGCTCTATTAATATAAAATGAGATTATTCACCAGCTGTTGTTTCACTGCTTTCAGCAGAGCCATTGAAACATTTGCAAAATAGCAAAGGGTTCTAGATGGGAGGGGCTGTTGTTCATAATCCAGACCACCCAGCGGGCACCTCAGGTAATAGGCTTTGCACCTGACCTGTGTAGAAACTTGGTAAGACATCAAGGGTTTGGCATGATCAGTCCATGTCATTGGGAAACCACAGCAGGCACCCTCATTTTCCTTCCCAATGATTTTCTTTTCCCCATTATTTTTCCCCTCCTCTTGCACAACCAGAGAGCTCTCTAAAAATCTATTCAAAAGAAGCTCTTAGATTAAGTTAAAGTAAAAACAAATCCAGTTAGAAGATAGCAAATGCTGCCTTGATATAAAATTTGTCTTCTAGAGCCCTAGACCTACTTACATTTGATTTTCATAGACTCATAGAACATTATCCAAGATGGGTAGGAGAATGTCAGGGAAAGGTTTCTATCAGGAGCAGCACCCTCCTCAAATTTTAAGTGCACCAAACCACCTGGAGGATCCTTGTGGATGGGCAGGGGTTGGCAGAATGGCCCAGGAATCTGCATTTCTGAAAAGCAATAAGGAGATGGACAATTCTTTGAGTGGCAAGGGTCTAGATTCAATGTTTTGGAGTGCATTTGTAAATCTGCCCAGGTTATAGAAAATATAGTCTGAGCAGATGATCAAAGTGGCAAAACTGTTCTACTTAAAGCTGAATTCCTTAATAAATGCACTGTTACAGAAATATATGTGAGACTAGAACACTGTATAATATCCCTTTAAGAAAAAATGATTCTCCTCTCCTTCCTACTGATGGATCATTCAGCCTTGATCACTACATTAGCTGATTTTCTACAGGACACCTACTCTGTACTTGGATCCAGTGTACTAACCTGTAACTACCTCTCCTATGAGATGTGTTCTCTGGGAGTGAAATCTCTGGAAGGCACCTTGGTCTTGTGGCAGGGAGGGTCTGAATCGAGCTCTAGCAATTAGGAACTGAGAGCCCTTGGAAAGTATCTTAACCCCTCTCATCCTTAGTTTCTGCACCTGAAAGAGTGTGGGAAGTGTAAACAATTAGTTTTGAATTTTCAAGTGGGAAAATAGGACTATGTCCCTTATAGGATTACTGTAAGCTTTAAACAAGATAATGTATGCAAATTACTGACTACATTCATGAAGTAATGTACATAAGCCATGTGAAATGCTCATAAACCAAGCTTCAAAACAAACATAGCCCTGAAATTGACATTCAGGATTCTAAAATGTTTTCTGATAAACCATTTTGAAAGGAAATCTTTCCAAAACATTTCTCAGCCCACTTTGTGTAACGGTGTATATACCTAGTCCAATTTAGGTCTTTCCTTATGACTCAGGGTCTTTATTTTGAACACAAGTGACTGCACTGTCCTGAAACACAGGATGACCTCAGTCAGGGGGATGATGATCTCGGGCTTTCTAACACTCATCCTCCTCGCCCCTCTTCCCCACCAGCTCCCCCACAGCCTCCATGCACACTTCCATAATAGCACTTACCACACAGAGCCAAAAATATGTGTTTACCTCCTTTCTCAGGGCAGGGGCCAGGTCCTGAATAAATGCTTCCTGTTGAATGAAGATCTCCCCAGGCCCCACTTAAAGGATTGGGTGCCAGGAACTCAGAAGCAAGACTTGTGTTCATTCAGATGCTTTCAAATGCCTCCATGTCCTCAGCCAAGGGCTAATAGCACTGCTCTGTCCTTATCTTTTAGAGACAGCTGAGAACCGAAAAGACATTCCTCATTAGAACCTTGTGATGGTTTTCAGTCACTGCCGGGCCCAGAACCTTACTACCCTTCTGGTCAGTTGCAGCCCCTTTGGTCTTCTTCTGTGCTTGGTTCTGCTTTCACTGGCAGCAAGGACACTGGAGATAGACAGCCCTAGGTTCAAACTCTGATCTACAGTTTGATAGTTATTTGACTTTGGGTGAGTCACTTAAATTCTCTGCTCAGTTTCCAAATCTGTAAAATGAGGTAATAGCCCTATCTGCAGAATTGCTGTGTGTATAGAGATGGTGGTAAAGGGATTCCGAGATGTCCTCTGAGGGAAGAGTTTTCATAACCTGTGCTTTGATAATCCCACTAGGGGTAGGGGCAGGGGTCGGGCTCTAAGAAGCCTCTCTGAGCAGTATTAGATGGCTGTGAGCTAGACTGTGTGCATTAGAGCACAAAGATACCGAGGTGTTCTGTATGGCTGACATTGGTGGCTCTTTGTCAACAATCCTTTTCTCCCCACCCTTCACCCTTGCTGCCACAACCTACTTTCCAAGTCTAGAGAAGAAAGATGCCAATGTTAGCTTGTCTTATTAAGGCACAAGTATGAATTTAAAGGTAATTGTTCCAAAATATTTCTGGGAAACCTTTTCCTTTGTGGGGTGTGTGTGTGTGTGTGTGTGTGTGTGTGTGTGTGTGGTGGGAGGAGTTGGGTGGGCAGGGAGTGAGGAGAAACACTCCTCTTCTGATCTTTAGGTGTAATTACCTGCAGATATAATTCCTAGAGCTATGGCAACCATCCTGTAACCATGAGGGACAACTCTCGGGATGAAAACCTACAGGCTGTGGATGGTAAAGAGGGAAAGACGGAAAATACCTGAGTTGGGTGCTTGATGACATCGTTGCGCTTCTGAATTAACCAAGCCTGAAAATGATACCTCCAGAGATAATAAACTTTATTGTTTAAGTTATATTTAGTTACATATTCTGTTACCTGTTTCTTTATTGTACACTCAGCATAAAATTGAAGAGGCTAAACCCTGGAGGTGGGAGGAAGAGGAGGCTTGATGATAGCACAGCAAAAGAGGACATTAGAGAAAAGTCACTTCTGTTGAGGATTTTAACTTTTATTGGATATGCAGTGTAAACCTCTGCTCCACTCTGGGAAGTCTTCAGTAAATTCCACAGTTTCTTACAAATACTTCTGGTGCTGGTGGGTTGTTCTGGAGGATTTGAACAAAGCTTGAGATCTACATCAAGAATGGTGCCTGATGAAAACAGAGACACACCTGGGAATAGCAGTACTTCTAGGTTATGTAAGGATTAGAGAGCATATCTGTCAGGCATCTAGAATGACATAGGACATATGCCATAAAGGATAAATACTATTATTATTTTATGTTACCAGTATTATTACCTTGCTCCTGACTGGTAGCCAGCACAGAGGTGGAAATTAGAGGCTCATGGGTAGGGCTGTACTTGGGGGCAGACCCAGTAGTAGACTTTGAGAAGAAGCTCTGGGATGAGGGTTGTATGAAGACAGCATGGAGCCAAGCATCCCTGGCAGGTGGGCTGTTGGTGCCAGGAAAGTCCAGCAGAGCTTCTGTGATCCTGCAAATGGAGCAAAAGACTGGATCCTAGGGCTGGAGGGACGGGAAAATGAGGAGTTCTTGTTCCATGGGTGTAGAGTTTCAGTTATATGAGACAAAGAAGTTCAGGAGATCTGTTGTGCAAGAGTGTATGTGTAACACGACTGTCCTGTAGACTTAAAAATGGCTAAGATGGTAAATTGCATGCTATGTGTTTCTTACTACAATTAAGAAAAGAGAGAAAAAAAAAAGCTAAATCCTAGTTACTAGAACGAAGACCTACAATCTTAGCAGGCTCAAGAGAAGCTTGACTTGTTTGGGTGGGACTTCCCCCAATTTTCCATGATTGGAAAAGGACTGGTCCCAGATCTCAGATTGAGGCTGACATTCAACCTTTCATGTGGAAGTCCAGAGTTACAAACATATGTGTGTGTGTATCTCAAAAGTGGTATACATACTCTATATGTGTATACACCTATCCATACAAAATCTCCTTTCTCTGTTTATGTGTGTACATGTATCTCCTTATCTTATCTTATCTTACTTAACCTATCATAAAGAACCTGGAGTGTCAACCTAATTTACCCTGACAGCTAATGGGGAGCCCTCAAAGCCAGGGCCTTGCTTTGATCAGTAAGGTGTGACAGGATGGGCCATTGTGTGTTTTTCCACCCACTGTCTTGCTTTCTTCCATTCTGCCATAGGAATGGTGTCTCAGATAGGAGCTACTTCTGCAGGCTTGGTCTCAGAATGTGAAAACACCTGGAGAGCAGAAGCAGAGCTTTCTCTGATGTAGTGGGGAACATGCAATTGCAGAGTGAGGAACATTGGTTGTTACGAGCCAACTCAGGGAGTCATTTGTTACTGTGGGAAAGCCGACTAATAAATCCCAGTGCTGGCCCATGGGCAACACACAGGATCAGGAGAACTAATAAGTCATTGCTGTTTTAAGCTACTCCATTTTAGGGTTTTTGTAAGACAACAATGGATAACTGGGGCTTCCCATAAAGAAGGGATGTCAACGAGAATTAAGACGAGAGGAGAAAATGAATTGAGAAATATTAAAGGGGTGGTTTAGAACTTTCAATCACTAATGATAAAACTTAACCAAAAAGTGGAATTTATTGACTTAAGGTACTGAGAAGGATTCAGGACTGAAATGCTGTCATAGGTTTCAGTTTCTCTGCATCTCTTGGCCCTACCTTCCCCTGGCTGAGTAGGTTCCCTGGATTCTGTATGGTAGATTCTGGCAACCTTGGGGATAGCATCTCCCAGTTCATGTCTCCCCAATTTCAAGTCCAGTAGAGCGTCTTTTTTTGTCATACTACAGAAGTTTTGAGATTGACTCTGAATAGACTGGCTCAGGTCATAGGTACACCTCTGAGAAAATCCCTTTGGCTGAATGGGGATGGTAGTGATTGAAGAAGAGGATACATTGGGTATGGGTCCTTCTATTGAAGCTCAAACAGATTTTTAAGAGGGGAATTAATTCATTCATATAATTAAAAAGAGATAGAAAAATTCATGGAGTGTTCCAATCTCAGGTGAGGTTTGATTTAGAGCTGAAGAATGTCACCAGAATTTGCCTCTTGACTTTTCAAAAATTATTGCCAGGTGAGACTACTTCTTACGGGGGATTTTGAAAACCAAAGAGAAGTGGGTTTGATGATGATCACAGGCTCCAATCAAATGTGTGGAGTTCTTCTTTTTAATTGCTTTCTGCAAACAAACACAGCTATAAGATACTGGTCCTATGAACAAACACGGCTTATAAGATATTGGTTCTGGTGAATGGTCATAGATATGTGTTTAAGTTCATCATTGTTCCAACTTCCCCTAGACAAGAGTGCAAGATGAATCCAGATTGCTTGAACTTGGATCCTCGCTCTTGCACTGATTAGCTGGTGCCTTGGGCAAGTCATTTAACCACTCAGTGTCTCAATGTACTCATCTGTAAAATGGGAAATGACATTATCTACCTACCCTAAAGGGTGGTTGTTAATAATACACGAGAATCACTTAGAACAATGCTTAGAACATGTTATGTGCTCAATCAATGTACATTATTATTATTCTCACGTCTACAGTAAACAAAGAATCATTTGTAGACTTTTTTTTTTTTTTTTTCAGATTTATGACCATTTTAGATGGCCAGTGTTGGCTTCGTTTAGATTTATCTCTTGGCAGTGAGTGACTGAAATTGTATCTGCTCATATCCCAGAACACATTCTGACAGCATTTTGCTATGTGTTTTCACTGGCTTCCCATCAGTTACTGGACTGTAGTCTTCCAAGAGATATTCCTCCCTTTATTTGTACTTCTTTGGCATGAAAGAAAACCTAAGTTCAATTAACAGTCTACAAAGGGAACAAAACAGAGGTTTTTTAAAAAAACTACTATATATTTTGCAATCCAGCTTTGAATAGTAAGGGCAGAGTATTGTCCTCTATCTTTTTATCATCTCGTTGCATAATCTTTCTTTCTTTCTTTTTTTTTGAGGAGCTTAGAAAAACGGAAATTTCAAAGTAAGTGTGATGTTAGCAATTCGTATCATGATGAGTTGTAGGTTACTCATAGCTTCTCCTGGTTATTTTTGTTTGGGTTGTTTTGCGTAGTTGGGGTTGATAGAACAATTGTTCTATGAGTCTGGAATTATCTTGGCTCTGGTTGCCCGCATTCCTAACTGCAGTGTGTCCCTCTGTGAGAGTGGCAGGGATTAAGCTCTGTGGGCACATTATCCACAGCTTTCTCTCTCAGTTTTGGATGCTGTTACATAAGGTTCCATATTGATCAGAAAGAGGGGAGAATGGATGGTGCTGGGGAGACATTTTAAGTTGAAGTAATTTCACAAGCACTGGGATGTGTAACTTGCATGGGTTTTATCTCCCAGCTAATGGGTGGTGGGGAGAGGGGTATGATGTAGCCTCATTGCTCTGCCAGTCAGCCTTAGTTAGTCAATAGACTTCTTGTACAAATACAAACATTTGCTGGACATGTGAGTGAATTAAATTGCAGGGATGGTTTGGGAGTCAGAAATCTCCTGGGTCACTCTATAGATTTAAACAGCTACCTGAGTCTAAGGTTTCTCTAGGGCAATTCAATTCAAGTTATTTTTATCCTAAAGAAGTTTGATGTCCTAAGTGAAGAAACAAAATAATGTAAGTGTGTTATGATGTTCTTGATTTTAATTCAATTTAATATTTTTGAGTAGCCAGCAAGATCTGAGTACTCATAATATGAAGAAAACATTGGTGTCTAATTTTAGTCTCAAAAACTTGAATTTTTGATCCCTAAATATTAATAATAATTGTTTTATTAAGTAATTAAAATATGCTGAGCATTGTACTGCCTACTTTAATGGTGTAGGTATTTGTATCTCTACAGTTTAACTTACTGAAGCTTTGAAAGTTTAAGAAACACTGTGGTCACAAGTCTAGTATGAGCCAGTGATTTTTTTTTTTCCTTAAGTAATCTCTAAGACCAAATGGGGCTCAAACTCATGACCTGGAGATTGAGAGCTGCTTGCTCTATCAACTGAGCCAACCAGGTGCCCCACAACTCTAGTGAAATATGGGAATTGAACACAGCTCTGTCTATGGCAGTGCTGTCTCCTAGAACTTTCTGTGGTAATGTTCTGCATCTCTATGGTCCAATATGGCAGCTACAATGTGGAAGCTACTGAGCATTTGAAGTGAGACTAGTGTAACTGAGGAAATCAGTTTTTAATTTTATTTTAATTAAAATTAAAATTTAATAGCCACATGTAGTGGTTGCTCAGGACATCACATTATCTGGCCTATAAATGTTCAAGCTGCTGTGATCTCATGTGTAGTACATTTAGGTATCAAAGATAGCAAATGTAAAGAAGTAGTTGGAGAAAAAAAATTTTATCAAAATCAAAATCATTTATTATTATTATTTTAAAAAGTTTTATCTGGGTTTAGTGGACCCCCCAAAAAAGTCATTTAAATTGCAGTATTTAAAGGGATGTAGACCCCAAAGTTAAATGACTTATAAAATTTAGGCAGGAAAAACTTCTTTTGGAGAATTTCTATTATATATTTTGCTTGGTGATTATTAACATATTGACAATGTTGATTATAAGGGACATAGCAATTTGGAAAAAGGAAAAAAATGTTCCTGGAACTGTACTCTTCCTGCAAGAGTCAGATCTCTAGGCATTTTCCAATCCAGGGAATCACAAATTCCCCAAGTATCAGGGACAGAGTAATATGTTTACAATCAAACTAACCAAACTTTTTTTTTATTAAAGATTCTATTTATTTGAGAGAGAGAGGGAGAGAGCACAAGCAGGGGGAATAGCAGAGGCAGAGGGAGAAGCAGACGCGCCACTAAGCAGGGAGCCCGTTGTGGGATTTGATTCAGGAACTCCAGGATCATGACCTGAGCCAAAGGCAGATGCTTAACTGATGGAGCCACCCAGGCACCCATAACCATGCTTTTTTGCTTTCTACTTTCAGATGTCTCCTGCCTCCAGTTATCTTGTTTTTCATAAAAGGTTTTAGAGCTGAATATTTACAAATCAGCATCTTTAATGCTCAATATTCATAAACAGACTACGTCTCCAACAAACAGTGACATATAAACAACACATAGATGCCTACTTAGTAGAGCTCTAGATGATAACTCCTTTTTTGTCTGACCTCTGGATTTACCTTTCATTGGGCTAGGTTTTCTCCCAGCTCTGCCAATTCGACAGTCAAGTCTCTTTTCTGTAAAGACCAGTTTTCTTGCACTAATTCAATTCATCATTTCTTAGTAACGAGTCTACCTAGATTTACTTTCTTTTTCTTTCAATTGACTACAGCTTTACTGTCTTGTGGAAACCCCTTTGTTTGCACGAGATCCAGGGAGAATCTCCATGTGCTGCAGGCCAGAAGGGGGAACCTGGTTCTCAGGGGCAAGGGTCCTGCAGGAAACAGGTACTTGGCCAGTCCCTGCAGATGGCCTGGCTGTAGGTTGTGGAACTATTCCTGGCCCCATCACTCTCTGTGTCCACCCTCAGAAAAACAAATCACAGGGACGCCTGGGTG